CATTTAATACTTTACCATTTTAAATCTACAAATATAGATGTTGGACAGGAAGAGGGAACTACTAATCAAATTTAGGTTTATCCTTTAAGACTGATTCCAGAAGTGGAATTACTATATCATTAAACAATGCTTTTATGTTGATCTGATTCAGGTTATGGTCTTTCTGACTACTAGCTATGCATCTAAGACCTGGACAATGAATGAATAAGGGTGATAGAAAAAGAATTGATGTCTTTGGGCTGTGGTGGAGAAGAGCACTGAACATCCTGTGGATGGCCAAGAAAATAAATATTTATGTCTTGGAGAGGGTGCAGCCAGAGTGCTCTTTGGAGGCAAGAGTGATGAAGCTTTGCCTCCTATACTTTGGACATATTGTTAGGAAGTTCTATTCCTTGGAGAGGGACATGATGTTGGGAAGGGTGGAGGGTCAGTGAAGAGAGGAAGACCCTTAACCAGATGGATTGACATGGTGTCTGCTACAATGGGCTCTTGTGTGTCGTAAGTGTGAGGATGGTGCCGGACAGGACTAGGTTCAGAGCTTTTGTTCATAGGGTTGCTATGAGTCGTACTTGATTCAATGACACCTAACAACAACAATAACAATAATACTCATACTCAAATAGCTTTCCAAAACGGCAGACTTATGTTTCCACCAATAATATGTGAGAATTCTCATATTTTTACAAATATTTTATATTACTTTATTTTCTTAATTTGTAAATTTGAAAAGTAAAAAAAATCCATTTATTCTGGTTTTCATATCTTTCAGCACCAATCATGAGGGTGAACATATTTTCCAATCACTGAAAACTGATTTGGATATTTTATGAATTAGCTATCCCTATGAATAAAACATTTACAGTAAGGCACTCTACTTACCAAGCTTTAAAATGCTCCTTAAAATTCTGTAGTGCTTTTGTCACCAGAGAGCTGATAAAGTTGGAACTCTCAGAACCTTCATTGAGAAGAATCTTGAGTGTGAAATTAGAGGAAGGCAGAATGCTTAAATCTAGCATTTTTTCATCTTGTTTAGATAATTTTTCTTCATGAACACCTGGAACTACCTAAAGAAGAGGGGTTATTCTGTAAAATATTGCTAAATCCCAGTACACATTAACAATTGGTTTAAAGCAGTTAGGATAGGCTAGTTTGTAGTGAAGAAACAGATTAACCCAAACATTTCAGTGGCTTCAGACAACAGAAAGTTTCATTCATGCTACATATCCATTAAAAGATGTCTCACACAGACCTGGGGGGCAAGCCTGACCTTCTGTCAGTTTGCTATATCATAGCAATCTTATAAACAGCAGCTTGAAACCCTGCCCTATTCAGTGTCATCCTCACTACCTCTGGCATGCTTGAGCCCACTGTTAATAGTCACTATGTCAGTCACTGTGTTGAGAGTCTTCCTCTCTTTCTCTGACCCTTTTCGTTTTTCAGCATGATGTCTTTTCAAAAGGACTGGTCCCTGCTGATAACATGTCCAAAGTATATAAGATGAAGTTTCCTCATCCTTGCCTCTAAGGAGCACTCTGGTTGCACTTTCTTAAAGACAACAGGAAGCTATGGCACTGCCATTTAGAATACTGACAAGGTCAATGTCGCTGTTGTAGACAGATTTCAACCGAGACTAGGCAGAAAGGTCTTGTAAACCACTTCTAAAAATCACCCAATGAAGACATTCTGAACATTGCTCAACCCATTTGGCTTGGACATGTCATCAGGGATAGTCACTAGAGGACAACAGCATGTTTGTGACACAGAAGGCCAACAAAGGTGAGAGGGAGGTGGGTTGGCACAATAGCCACAACTTTGATCTTAAACACAGTGTTGAGAGTGAAAATGACACAGGACTGAGCAACATTCCACTCTATTGTATATAAGCCCACTATGAGTCAGAGCTGATTGTTGTTATATGCCATCAAGTCAGAAACTACTCATAGTTGACCCTTCAGTGAATTTCCAGAGACTATCAATCACATGAAACGAGATTGTCCATCTTTTTTCTGAGGAGTAGCTGGTAGATTTGAACCACATGTGTTTGGGTTGGCAGCACAACTCATTACTGCAAGACCACCAGAGTTCCCTCATTGTTGATTAGATAGCTAGTTTTCTATCTGTACCATTCACATGCTCAGTTGGACATCTCCAGGATGTAGCAGTAAAAGATATGGCTTTATTTGTTCCCATAGCAGAGAAAGAGAATAGATGGTCAGACATAGGTTTTAAACTTTGTAGGAATTTTGCTGCTAACTCAAAGGCTGCAGCTCTCTGGCGGTTTGAATCCACCAGCAATTTGACAAGTTGCACAGTCTCCTTTCACATTAACTTACAGCCTCAGAAACCCAATGAAAGGTCAGCTGTAAGTTGGTTCATACTCAATGGAAATAATTTGATTTTTTCTCACATTTCTTCTTCCAGAATTTACCTTGCTAAGTACTATTATCTGTGCCACAAATAATAATATCATGGGTCAATTTTTTTTTATTTCGTGTGTCAAATTTTATACTGAATTTTTCTAGATAATTTATCTGTGATTTTTGTAAGAACTAGTCATCTGAAATCAGTTATCCTTTTAATGAATAATCAAGTGCATATAATTTGATGATTTACATGAAAAAATACAATGTAACTTAAAAAAATTTTTAAAAAAATGTATTATCTTTTGTGTACTGGCAAAGCAGATCTGACTGGTTCAGAAGATTGCCCCTACTTATCCAGCAGAGCTCTGGTGGATTCAAACCACATACTAACAATGTAACCTGATAATCTTAAAAGAACTATTTTTAAAACATTGCCAAATAATAGTATTTATACATAAATAATAGTCTTATACAGTCTTTATCCTTTTGTGACTGAGTTATTTAACTTAGCATAATGTCCTCTAGTATGTGTAGTGTTTTGCGAATTTGTGGTTCTTTAGGGCTGCATGGTATTGTTTTGTGGATATACCATTGTTTCTCTATTCATCCATTTGTAGATGGGTGTTTGAGCTGTTTCCTTTTTCTTGTTATTATAAATAATGCTGCAGTGAACAAAAGTGCACATATATATCTCTGCTCATGTCTAAATTTAAATTTCCTTGGGGTATATTCCTAGTAGTGGAATAGCTGGATCATATGGGATTTCTATATTCACCTTTTTGAGGAAATGCCAGGCTATCTTCCATAGTAATTGCATAATCATACATTCCTTTCAGACAGTCCTTCCCCTCATCTGTTCCACTGCAGTTTTCATTGTCTATCTACTCTTTTGCTCTCTCCCCAACTCCTGAGTCATTCCTATTTTACAATGATCACATTTTTTAATATTTGTCCTTTTGTGATTGAGATATTACTCAGCATAATCTCTTCCAGTCTCACCCACATTGCAGAGTATTCTACAAGTTCATAATATTCCATTGTGGGAATGTACCACAGTCTTTCTATTCATTCCTTTGTTGATGGGTCGTACGGATGCTTCATCTTCTTGCTATTGTGAATAATACAGTAATAAATATGAATGTGCACACAGCCATTTTAGTCACAGCTCTGTATTCTTTAGGGTATATTACCAGTAGGGGGATAGCTGGATCAAATGATATTTCTTATTTCCAACTTTTTGAGAAAGTGCCAGACTGCCTTCCATAGTGGTTGTACCATTTTGCATTCCCACAAGCAGTGAATAAGAGTTCCAATCTCTCCACACCCTTGCCAGCATTTGTTGTCTGCTGTCCTGTTGAACTTTGCTTCAAAAAGGGTGAAATGAGTGCAACAATGAATGAATGAAAACCCCAAATCTCTGTAAATGTTCATTAAAACTAATAAAACTTAATAATAATAAAAAAAGAACAGAAAAAAAAGGGTGGAATGGTATCTCAGTTGTTTTGATTTGCAACTCTCTGATACCTAGGAATTTTGAACATTTCTTCATGTGTATGTTTGCCAGCTGAATTTATTCTTTGATGAAGTGTCTGTTTATATCTTGTGCCATTTTTGTGATTGGGTTGTTTACTTTTTTCTTTTTGAGGTGCTGAAGTATTCTATAAATTTTAGGTATGAGTTCTTTATCAGATATGTCATTGCCAAATATTTTTCCCCAGCTTTTGGACTTCCTTTTTACCCTGTTGGAGAAGTTTTTTATTTGCATGAAGATTTGATTTTTAGAAGATCCTCTCATCTATTTGCATGTCCAAAGTATGTCAGACGAAGCCCCAGAATCCTTGCCTCCAAGGAGCAGCCTGGAGAGGGACTTCACTTGATGGTCTACATAGGCATCAGATTGACTACATCCGCAAGAAAAATCACTGGAGAAGCTCAGTGTCAACTCTGAAAACTAGGCCTGGTGCTGATTGTGTATCAGATCATCAACTACTTGTGTGCAAGTTCAAACTAAAGCTAAAGAAAATAAAATCAAATTCACAAGGACCAAAGTTTGATCTTGAGTCTATCCCTCATGAGGTAAAGACCATCTCAGGAACAGGTTTGAGGTCTTAAATACTAATGAGTGAAGACCAGATAAGCTGCAGGAGGTTATCAAGAGTATTATCCAAGAAGAATGCAAAACGGTCATTACAAAGACATAGGAAGAAGAAAAGACCACGTTGGACACCAGAAGAGACTGAATATTGCACTAGAGTGCCAAGAAACCAAAACAAAAGGAAGAAATCAAGATGTTAAGGAGCTGAATAGAAGATTTCAAAGGGTGGTGTGGGAAGACAAAACAAAGTTTTATAATGAAATTTGCAAAGAGCTGGAGTTGGAAAATTGAAAGGGCCAAACTCGCTCAGCATTTCTTAAGTAGAAGGAATTGAATAACAAATTCAAGCCTTATATTCAAGGAATATTCCATCTTTTTCTATTTGCTGAAATATGTCATGTAAGAATGGTGACAGCTTTTAATGGTAAAATTCACTGGTAAAACCATTTGGCCCACGGGTTATTTTGTTGTTGAAAATTTTTTCATAACTGTTCTTCTTTTGTGATGAGTTTGTTCAGGTGTTCTTCTTCAGTCTGGGTGGGTTGTGAATTTCTTAGTGTTTGTCCAGTTCCTCTAGGTTTTCATATTTGTTTTAGTGTAGTTTTCCATAAAATTTCATTATGAATATTTTTATTTGAGTTGATTCTATTATGACATGGTCTCTCATCTCTTATTGATTTGGATTATTTGTATCTTTTCTTTCTCTTGCTAGTAGTTTGTCAATTTTATTTACTTTATCCAGGAACAAATTCCTGGTCTTATTGGTAGTTTCAATTGTTTTTCTGTTTTCTATTTCATTTATTTTTGCCCTAATTTTTATACATTTTTTTAGAAGTTGTTGGTATTTCTTGCTGTTATTCTTGTATTTGTTGAAGATGTCGTGTTAAATAATTGACTTTTGTTCATTCTTCCCTTTCAACAGATTTGCTTTTTGCTGTGGATTGATCTTTAAGTACTGCTTTGGCTGTTTCCCAGAGGTTTTAATAAGTTGTCTTTTTATTCTCATTTGTTACAGGAAGCTTTTTATTTTATATTTTATTTCTTCTATTAACCACTCATGTGGTTACAGCAGGTTAAAGCAGGATGTTGTTCAGCTTCTAGGTGCATTTTTTTCCTCCATAATCCTCTTGTTGTTGATTTCTAATTTTGTAGCATTGTGGTCAGAGAAAATGTTGTTTTGTATTATTTTGACATTTTTTAAATTTATTGAGGCTTACTTTGTGACCAAAAATGTGATCCATTCTGGAGAATGTTCTGTGCATCCTGGTGGTGGTGGTGGTGGGGGAAACACATCCTGATCTCTTTGAGGGTGCAGTAGCCTGTATATATCCATGAGATTAAGTTTGTTAATTTTGTAGTTTAATTCTTCAGCATATTTGTTGAGTTTCTTTCTAGTAGCTCTGTCTTTACTTAGTGTGATATACTGAAGTCTCTTACTACTATTATGGTGTTGTCTGTTTTTTTTTTGTCCTGTTAACATTTGCTTTGTATATTTTCCCGCTCTATCATTCAGTGCATAGATATTTATTATGGTTATATACTCTTGTTCTTTTGTCCCTTTAAGCATTATTTAGGTCTTTCCTTTTCCTTAGGGATGGTTTTTACTCTGAAGTGTATTTTATTGGAGATTAATATTGCTACTTCTGCTTTTTTCCCTGGTTTCCATTTGCTTGATTTCTCCCACCCCTTTATTTTTAGTCTATATTTGTCTTCATTTTTCAAATGTGTCTCTTGTAGACAACATATTAACAGGTTTTGTTTTTTTTTTTATCCAATCTGCTACTCGTTCTCTTAACTAGTATAGTGAAACCATTCAGATTCAATGTGATTATTCAGAGATAATTTTTTGTATTTATTTTTTCATAAAGTAGATGTTTATTTACAGCCAATTTACATTTCCATCTCTATGGATGAGGGAGCTCAGAGAAACTGCACATTCATAAACATTAGAGATGAGTTCCATGGGCTGAAGTTTACAATCATGAACTCAGCTTTAAAGATGCATTTCTTTCTTTATCCTTGTCATTTTTACTTGCCCCTGGTACAGGAAGTTCAATGAATATTCAAAAGATATTTTAAAGTACATTTAAAGAAAGTTTTAAAAAGCAGGTACAGTTGCTGGTTTTTTTTTACCTTCAAAGGTAACATAATCTTCTGACTCTCAGATTTCTCAGCTTTAGCCTTCCTGTTTTTATGATTATGAAAATAAATATCTCACAGTTAAAATAAATCAAGAGCGTGAAACCAGGTTGCTCCTTGGAGGAAAGGATTGTGAAGCTCCATCTCACATACTTAGGGCATAGTGCCAGGAGGGACAAGTCCTTGGAGAAGGACATTCTGCTGGGAAGGATGGAGAATCAGTACAGGAAGGGAAGATTCTGGGTGAGATGAATTGACGCAGTGATTGTGGCAATGAGGACAGGTATGCCAAAGAGAATGAGATGGCCTCAGAATAAGGCAGGTTTCAGAGCTATTATTGTTCATAGGCTTGTTATGAGTCGTGGTCAACTTGATGGCACATAACAACAACAACAAAAACAAACAAATAAAGCACAAACAATGGAATTAAATGGAAATGGTCTGGGTACACCATCAGGCCAAAAGATTAAAAGACAACTAAGTAGCACCTGATCAAACAGAGGTAAATTTTTATTGCCATAATTTTGTTGGGCTCTTTATTTGTGTTGTTGCTGGTTACTTTGATCTATCTTCCTTTCTGTGTCATCTCTGTGAGAAAGCCTTCCTTCAGTATTTTCTGCAACAGTGGTCTTGCTTTTACAAACTCCCTTCGTTTCTACTTTTCTCAGAATGCCTTCATCTTGCTATCATATTTGATGGATAGTTGTGTTCTTTGATATATGTCATTTCACTATCTTTTGACTTGCATGGTTTCTGCTGAGAAAGGCACTTAATCTCTCCTTTGTTTATTAGGTCACCAGAGCTCCCCTTTTATAGGTTAGTCTTTGTTTTTCCCTAGCTTCTTTCAGAATCCTCTCCTTGTGTTTGACTCTTGAAAATTTGACTATGATATACCTTGGTGTTTTTCTTTTGGGGTTTATTCTATACGAGGCAGCTCTGGTGGCTTAGTGTTAAGAAGCTGCACTGTAATCCTCAAGGCATGAGGTTCAAGGCCACTAGCTGCTCTGTAGGAGAAGGATGGACAATCTCCTCCTGTGGGATTAACTGCCTCTGTAAACATGCCAGAGGGTCAGATATGGGTTATTTCAAGTGACACCAAGCTTCAGCTTCATCCTGTAGGAAACTGAGCATGATCTGCCAGCAGTAGTCATTTTGAGAAGATTGCAGGGGGAAGCAGTCTGCAGCAGGAACAGATGAAACTAAGAAAAGGAATATCTGGGTAGGAACCAACATGATATGCTACCCAGGATTTTATGTACTCAATTTCTTTGCATAGTAATTTAAAATAAAATCCAAATTTTATTAAGAAATCTGGAAATACTATTTGTGTATTAATGTTGTGTATATGTGTGTTGATAAAAGAAATCCATTCCCTGGCAAATGCGTTTCTTTTTAATGTTAAGCAAAAGATTTATTGATTGAATATGAAAGACATTGCACAGAAGCAACTTTAAAAGGTACTATATTTTTATGTGAACATTAATCTATAAATGCAAACTCACTGCTGTTGATTCAATTCCCATCCATAACCACCCTGTAGGAGGGGGTGGGATTTTCTAGGCTGTAATCTTTCCAGAACTATGCTTTGGTGGCTCAGTCCATAGGGAATTGTGCTGCTAACCCAAAAGGCCTCACGTTTTTGGTGGTTCTAATCCACCAGAAGCTCTGTAGGAGAAAGGTGGGCAGTCTCTTCCATTGTGATTTATAATCTTGAAAATCTGCTAGAAGGCTAGCTATGAGTCTGTTTCAACTCGAAAGCAATGAGCTGAGCTGAATCTTTCCAGAAGACTGTCATATCTTTCTCCCACAGAGTCACTGGAGGCTCAAACTGCAAACCTTTCAGCTAGGAGCCAAGTGCTTAACTATTGCACTGCTGGAGCTCGTGATTAATACAGAAAAGCCCCAAACCAAGCTCACTGCCATCTAGTTGATTCTGACTCAAAGCAACCCAATAAAACAGAATAGAATGGTTCCACAGAGTCCTCAAGGCTGTAAATAGTTCTGGAAGCCAACTGACTCAATCTTCTTCTGCAGTATTGATAGATTATAGTCACAAAGTAAATAGCAGTAAGCAACAAAACAAAACAAAAACACAACCCCAAACTAAAAAACAAACCACAGACAAACTAGTAAGTGGCATCATTTACAGAGTTCTTACTTTGTACAAGCAACTTATACTAATCACTTTACATGCATGTATGCAAGTATTATTATTTCCAATTTAAAGTTAGCAAAACTGAGGCCTACAATGGTTAAGAACATTTCCCTATACTACACAGCTGGTGAGTTTCAAAGGTCGGATGATCTTGGACTTAAAAACTACATTGGCTAGGTAGGTTTCTTTACGTTCATTCTATTTCTGATAGCACTTCAAGTACAAATAGAATTCGCTAACTCTGGATTAAAGTACTCTGTATTTTAGATTGATTGTTTATGGAATACCATGTTTTCTGAAGACCCTGCATTATGTTATACCTGGGCAGGCTGAATATGATCACAATGGAAATATGAATATCTCCCTAAAGTTTCTTTTAAAATTAAAATATAATCAACAAGTAAATGAATAGGAAAATCACAATATGCCAGGGTAACATCTATGTATGCTCTTGTATCTCAAAGTTACCTTTACTGGACTGAAGCTGCTCTCTGTTCCCAGGGTCTGGTTGACCAGTTCAGACACCCAACCAAATTGTCCTCTCATCTTCTCCACAAGATACATGGTGTCTTCCAAGTGATCCTGCGTCATCTGGAGAATCTGGGTGTATTGCTGATTGGACACGTTGACCAATTTAGAAGCTTTATCTAATTCTGTATGCAGCTCTGGTACACCAGGGCAGTCTGGAAAAGAATAAAGAATCATAGTTAAGAAAAAGGTCTATGGAGTTTAGAATTCTCTTAAGCTGATGTGATAATTGATATTGTCCATAGGGAGTTGCACTGCTAACCTCAAGACTGAGCTTCTCTGGCTGTTTAAAACCTTCAGCCACCCCTAGGGAGAGAAGTGGGCAATCTTCTGTATGACTTACAGTCTCAGAAACCCAATGGAGAGTCATCTATTAGTTGGTATCAATTTGATGGCAAGGAATGGGTGTGTGATAGTTAAAGCCATGTGTCAGCTCAGCTGCCTATAATTCTCTGGTTTGGAAGTCATGCTGCAGTCATTCCCTTGGAGATATATGCTAGAATAGAATCACCTTTGTGATGAGATCTGCTATGAAGTCAGTCAGTTGAAAGGGAGTTTCATCAGGGCTGTGACCTACTTCCAACATTTATGTCAGGCAATGCTTTCTTGCTTATGCTACGTCTGAACCCTGAATCTGCCTCTTCACACCCAGTTCTTTAAACTTGAACTAGCAGTCTGCGTCTCCTGCTGGACTGAAGGTGAACCTGTGGAGAGGAAATTTGACCTCAGCATGTGCACAGGAAACCAGGGAACTTGTCCTTAATGATTTACCAAAAATAACCTCCATGATCCCAAGTTATAGCCACAGCCACCACTATGTCAGGTGATGGGAAGCCCCTGAACCACATCTCTAAGCTTTTTAAATCTGCAGCTGTGTAGGTACCACAGTAATGGCCTTTCGCCCATTTCTTTAGTCTGTGATGGATTGTAATTGACACTAATTAAGATCTTGTGATGATTTGCTTTGTCTCTAGATTATATACATGCAAGCCATGACCATGATCCAGTGGAACACCACTAGTGCCATGATACCTCCCTCTAGAATGACTTGTCTGTCTCTGTCCTTCCTGATCCAGGCCATAGTCTTTGCATTTACTTGCTATGTATCAGAGAGAGCTGTCCAATGACTAAGGATGACAGAAGAATTGATGCCTTTGAATTGTGATGCTGGAAAAGAATATTGAACATACCATGGACTGCCAAGAAAACAAATAGGTCTGTCTTGGAGAGGGTTAAACCAAGTTTCTTCTTGGAGGTTAGGATTTTGAAGCTTCTTCTCACATACTTTAGGCACGTGACCAGGAGAGACCAGTCCTTGGAGAAGGACATCATGTTTGGAATGGTGGAGAGACAGCACAGGAAAGGAAGACCCTGAAGGAGATGGATTGACTTGGTAACTGGGGCAGTGGGATTAGGTGCGTTGGAGTTAGTGAGACTAGCTCAGGATAGGGCAGGCTTCCAGGCTACATAGGGTAACTGTGAATCCCAGGTGACTTGATGGCATGTAACAATAACACCACCACTAACTTTAACTGTTATTTAACTAGGTCTTTTGCTAGAAATCTAGAACACCAATTTGTGTGGATAAACTCCATTGGTGAGAGAGAATAAAGCATGCAGGTAGCTTTTGAGCTGAGGAATGGCTTTGATTTTGGGCAAAATTTGGGAGTCCACAGTGTTCTGATCACTCTTGTGCTGTTCTATAATCTCCTGTTTCTCCTCTGTGTTAAATATCTCATCCTCCTGGTTGTGTGGGCTTCCACAGCAGCTGCTTCTTGAAGTCAGCATCAGTGAGATGTTTTGGGATTTTCACATCACTGATGTCAACTTTAATGGAGGTGGCAATAACAAAGTTCTGGTGTATTCTCTGCAGAAGAACTTGATAGAGGACCAGAGGCCAGGTCACAAGGAGCAAGCCACTATTCAGCTGCTTCAGGGAAACCACTCTCTTACCTCTGTGGGACCCTGTGATCAGAACTGTCCTGGGCCTGATGCTACAGCGCAGTTTCCTCACATGCTGACTGAAGGGTTTTGTGTGACTCATCAGTTTCCGAGGCACACCTTCAGTAGGGTAATACCTAGGCATTTTGAGAAGTTTCATTCCTTGGGTTCCACTATTCTTATCATCACCAACTGGTCTTGTGACAGTAGCAAGAACCTTCTCCTTTTCAGCCCTGGACTTAATGGTTGAACACTTTCTCTTGTACAAGCTGATACACAGCTGATCAGGGAAACCTACAGGGTTCTGGCTGCAGGGCAGCATCACCTTCTCACGTGTTTACCCTTACGCTTCGCCTTTTAAACTTTGCCACTGACATCTGCCTTCTTGGCTTCAGGCTTGACCAGCTTTTCACCTGCTATCTCACAAGATGAGGGATAAGCTTGTTTATGTCCATTAAAAAATATTGAGATTTTAATGAAAGTTTGTAGAAAACATGGCTTTCCATTCATTCATTGTTGCACATTTTCCTCCCTGCCCACCCCTCCCCTCATTTCACTTTTCTCCTTGAAAGAAAAAAAAAACACCAACTTTCCTTGTTTTATAATTCCCTCCTTCCACAGTCCACGTCCACTTTACTATGAAGCTCTTATTCTAGACTGTTGTTTATGTTTTAATGAAAGAGTATGTTTGAATCTGGGGTGTCCTTGCTCCTACAAATACACCAGTCATAATCTTTTGATAATCTCCTTCCCCCCCATCTTATACATGAAAGCCATGTCATGATTCAGGGGACCCCTTTGACATCATGCAGATGGTCTCCCTCATTCTGGAACAGTTGTCTTTGTCTTATCCCATTTAAAATTTAATAAAGGAGTCTCTACAGAATATATTTAAATTTAAGGTGCCTTTTTACTCCTTAGAATATTCGCAAATATACAAAATTGTCTCACTCTTCAAACATTTTCAGAAATTGTTTCAGAATCCTTAACAGGGAAACCTTTGGGCTTATAAGAGTCAAAGAGATATATTCATAGCAAATATCTTGCTTTAATTTTTTTGTTTTCTTGTTGTTGATTGCCTTTGAGTTGAGCACAACTCATAGTGACCCTGTGAACAAAAGGCATGAAGCCCCTCTACAATTATCTACATTTATCAAAGTTCACGCGGTCTGCGTCAGACTAGGTCAGGACAGGGCAAGCTTCAGAGCTACTGAGTTGCTATGAGTTGTAGGTGACTCAACAGCACATAATAACAACAATCCAAGAAAAAGAATACAGTCCAACAAAGGTGAAATTTCTTGTAAAGTACAATCACACAGGAAAGGAAAATGTAAAACTAGATCCACTCACAGATAATATAATCTTATATATTAACAAGTCTTAATGGGTGTTCTTGCATACACATCATGAACACACATCCACACTCTCTCACCCTTATTATAACTATTAAACAGTCCATCAAGGTTGCAGAATAAAAGATCATAAAATAAAGATCAATTCTATTCCCATACACTATGAAAAAATTAAAAACGAAATTAATAGAGCCATTCCCTTTTTAACAGTACCAAAAACCAAATAATACTTAGGGATAATTTTTTTAAAGAAATACAATACTCCTACACTGAAACCAGGGTCGGGGGGTGGGGGGAAGAAAGAAAACCTAAGTAAATGGAAGGACATACCATGTGCTTGGATTGGGAAGGGTTAATATCAAGATAGCAATACTCCCAAAATTGATTTATGAGTTAAATTAATACATTCCAAAATTTTGACTATTCTTTTTGTAGCAATTGACAATGTAATCTTCAAATTCATATGCAAATGCAAGAAATACAGAATAAATAGAATAATTTCAAAAACAAAGACCAGAGTTGGAGCACTTACATGGACTTGTTTTAAACTTACTAACTACAATGCTACAATATTCATGACAATGTGGTACTGGCATAAGGATAGACATATAGATCAATGGAATAGAATTGGAGTACAGAAATAAACCCTTATAATGAGTTTTTGACAAGGTGCCACAACAACTTTATAGGGAAAGTATTGTCTTTTCAATAAATAGCATTGGGACAACTGGATATCCACATGCGAATGAAAGAAATGAATCTCTTACCTCATACTTAATACAAAATTAGCTAAAAATGGAATCAGATTCCTAAATATAAAAACTGGAACTACAAAACTCTTAGAAGAAAATATAGGAATACATCTTCATGACCTTGAGTTAGATAATTGTTTTTTAGCTATGACACCAAGCAATTTTTAAAAAGGCATATATTGCATTGCATCAAAATAAAAACGTTCATGTTGCAAAGATCTCTATCAATAAAGTTAAACAACAACCCATAAATGATTTGTGAAATCGGTCCTTCTAGGAATGAGCTCAGCTTGCTCAGGTGTGTTGGGTTTACATCCACTGTGGTCCCTGAAGTCTTGCTCCAGTTCTAGGGCCTAGGAAATCTCTGCCCCTTCCCACCCCCAGCTAACCAGATAATTAGGATGTAAGAGCCTAGGATGATGATGCTTAAACAAAAAGAGAGTGGAAGTACTGGGAAGGGGGTGGGCAGGGAGAAAAGCGCAACAATGAATCACTGGAAACCCTAAGTCTCTGTAAACTTTCATTAAAATAAAAAATTATAAATAAAATTCAAGAGGAATAAACTTGTCAAACTTAAAAACAAAAAGAGAAGGTTAAATATTGAACTCATTTAAGTCATTGAACAACATCCAAAAAATTAGAACAAGAACCTTACTTTCTTTAAGTTGAAGACATGTAGATATTCTGAGTCATGACTGAATTGTGCTTCCCACCCCCCCTAGACTCCTCGTGCTGTATATGTACCAACTTGTCTAGACCATGGTTCCCGGTATTGTGTGATTGCTCTCGATTTTTTGAGGTGCTGTAAAACCTAGCCTCCCTCTGGTGTCTTAATGGATAAAGAATTGCATTGTCAATCCAAAGGCCGGTGGTTTGAATCTACCATCTGCTCCAAGGGAGAAAGATGGGTAATCTCCTCTCACATTATTTACAGTCTCGGAAAACCTGCTGGAGGGTCAGCTATGAGTGGATTCCATCTTGACAGCACTTAACAGCAATGTCTATGGTTATGGTCCCAGTTGCAAGTGAGCTGTCAGAGCCCAAGTGATGTAATGGCTAAGTGCTTGACTGCTAGTGGAAAGGCTAGTCATTGAGACCCACCATTTGACC